TAATACCTTTATTTTATTTTTATGTGGTGCTGAGGATCGAACCCAGTGCCCCACACATGCTAGGCGAGCATGCTACCAGTTGAGCCACACCCAAGCCCCCTCTTGCTTTTTATTTTTTGAATGTAGCTATTAGAAAATTTAAATTATAGCCTGCTTTTTATTCCACTGGGCAATGCTGCAGAGACTCCGGGAGCTGCGGCTTCTCAGCCCAGGAGAGGCACAGCCGCGGCTCAGAGAGCTCCCCCCACAACTGTCCCTGGACTTCGGCGGCAGGGCCCCTCCCAGGGACCACTCTTCCCACGGGGACAGCAGAATCTCCACGGTTTGTGAAGGGGTCCCCAATACACCGCGGTGGCATGAATATTTTGAGCTCAAGGCTTTTGGCAGTAGGCTCTTTTCTGAACTTCCTCATGGGCCTAAAGCAGAGCTTCCCAAAGAAATGGATGCTCATCAGTCCCACCCCAGGTCCTCCTGGAAACCAGGGCAGGTGTTCTTCTCACCACAGAGAAGGGGCATCACCGAGTAGATGTCTATAAGCCAAATCCCACCCGCCTCCTACAGCCACGTTTTTCTATGAACATTATGAATACAAACCTGCCGTATCTCTTGCAAGTGTATCTTCCGTTTTTTTTAATTGTCAAGGCCCCATTCTCTGAAGCCGAGAGTAGTTTTTCCTTAGCGACACATGGAAATGGGTTCATTGTGTCAGAAACATGCCTTTCCCTTTTATTTAAAAAATGTCATCTGAAGTTAATGTTTTTTAAAGAACATGTACGACTTGAGGGTTTTTAAAACACATATTATGTCCCTGGATGAAAATACTCAATATTGAGGGCTGGGGATGTGGCTCAAGCGGTAGTGCACCCGCCTGGCATGCGTGAGGCCCGGGTTCGATCCTCAGCACCACATACAAAGAAAGATTTTATGTCTGCCGAAAACTAATAAATATTGAAATTCTCTCTCTCTCTCTCTCTCTCTCTCTCTCTCTCTCTCTCTCTCTCTTTAAAAAATAATACTCAATATTGCAAAAATCTAAAATTTCCCCAAATTGATTTTTTTTGGGGAGCAGGTTTATTGAGGATTAAACCCAGTGTAACCATTGAGCTACATGTGTAGTACTTTTTATATGTATTTATTTATTTTGGTATGCAGGATCAAACCCAGGGGCACTTAAACCTGAGCCACATCCCCAGCCCTTTTAAAATACATTTTTTTTTTAGAGAGAATTTTTTTTTTTAGAGAGAGAGAGAGAGAGAGGAGAGAGAATTTTTAATATTAATTTTTTAGTTCTAGGCGGACACAACATCTTTGTAGTTGGTATGTGGTGCTGAGGATCGAACCCGGGCCGCACGCATGCCAGGCGAGCGCGCTACCGCTTGAGCCACATCCCCAGCCCTAAAATACATTTTATTTGGAGACAGGGTCTCATTGAGTTGCTTAGGGCCTCCCTAAATTGCTAAGGCTGGCCTTGAACTTGTGATCCTCCTGCCTCAGCCTCCCAAGTTACTGAGATTACAGGTGTGCACCACTGTACCGGGGCAAATTAATTTAAAAAAAAAAAAACTGTATATACTTAAGATGTACCACATGTTGATTGGATATACTTATCCTGCTATACACAACACGGATGTGATTACTGAAAGGAAAGTGACCACAACACTCAGAGCAACCAAGAGATCTTTATTGCAGCAGTGCAACAGAGGAGAAAAGAAAGAGAGAGAGAGAGAGAGAGAGAGAGAGAGAGAGAGCAAGAGAGAGACAGAGAAAGCAAGAGAAATAGCAAGAGAGATAGAGAAAGCAAGAGAGAGGGGCCTGGCAGGAGGGAGTTTTTATAGCCCAGAGGTCTCTGGGTCTGCAAGCTGCCTTGTTGGCACAAGGGGGGTTACGTGTTCGGCCTTGAGCAGGGGGTTGAGTGGGGGCTTGGGCGTTTAGACTTGAAGCAAATAATTGATAAAGAACCAGACAGAGGGTTTGAGAGGCCAGGTCATCCTGCAGTTAACTTTGTTTGGCATGCCCTGCAGACAGCTAACTCAGCCTGTCCTGCACCTAACAATTACTACTACCAAACAAATTAACATACCCAGCCATTATCCTAAATAGTTTCCTCCCTACCTACTTTCCTTTCTTTCTTCCTTTCTTTTTTATTTTACAGTAAGAGTACCTAAAATCTGCTTTCTTAGCAAATTACCCATATATAGTACAATATCATTAGCTGCAGTCCTTATGTGGTACCCGAGTATTCCTGGATTTATTCACTCGGTGTAGCTGCAACTTTGTACCCTCTGGCCTCCATCTTCCCATTTCCCCTCACACACCACCACTCTCCTTATAATCACTGTTTTGCTTTGTATTTTCTGTACTAAATTTATTTGTGTTTATTTATTTATTTTTAGACTGATCATGTACGTGAGATCAAGCATGTATTTCTTTTTGGGTCTGACTTCTTTCACTAAACATAATATCCTCCAATTTCATCCATACTGTTGCAAATGGTAGGGCTGAATAATATTTTTTTGTAGGGCTGAATAATATTCCATTGTATATGTGTAGCATGGTTTCTTTATCCATTGTCCATCAGTTGTTTCTATAGCTTGGCTATTGTGAGAAGTACTGCAATGAACCTTGGGAATATGACTACCCATAGAAGTAATGGCTTTTCCTTTGGATGTATACCCAGAAGTGGAATTGGTGGATCACATGGTAGTTTCATTTTTAATTTCTTTAGGGACCTCCTTACTGTTTTCCACAGTGGCTACACCAATTTACATGCCACCAACTGTTTCCAAATATTCCCTTTTCTCTTCACCCTCTCAAACCCTGTTTTTCGGATAAAAGCCATTCTTACTAAAGTGAGGTGATATCTTTATAGCTTTTTAAAAATATTTTTTAAGTTGTAGATGGACACAATACTTTTATTTTATTTATTTATTCTTATGTGGTGCTGAGGATGGGCCTCACACATTCTAGGAGAGTGCTCTATTGCTAAGCCACAGCCTTAGTCCTCAATATAGTTTGAATTTGCCTTTCACAGATCATTAATGATATTGAGCACCTCTTTATGTACCTGTTGTCATTTTTATGTCTTCTATGGAGAAATATCTATTCAAATCCTTTGCCCATTAATTCCTTTTTTTTTTCTGTTGAGTTGTGTGAGCTCCTATAATTTTTTTTTTCTTCTGAGTTGGGTGAGCTCCTATAAGTTGCATGTTAACCCCTTATCAGACACACAGTGCCCACATATTTTCTCCTAATCTCTATGGAGCCTGCTTTGTTACTTTGTTGATTGCTTCCTTTGTTGTGCACAGATGTTTTAGTTTGGTGACATCCCACTTGTTTATTTTGGCTTTTGTTGCCCATGCTTTCGGTGTCCTATCCAAAAAAATCCTTGCCGGGACCCATATTCTGAAGTCTCCCCCATATGCTTTCCTCCAGCAGCTTTAGGGTTTCAGGTCTTACTTGTAGTTGATTTTGTGTGTGGTGTGAGACAAGATTCCACTTTCATTCTTTTGCATGTAAGTGTCCGGTTTTCCCAGCACCATGTATGGAGTAATGATGCCCCCTGGTATCTTATGTGTCTGTCTCCTGTGGAAAATTAGTGGAAGTGGGCCCTCTAGGCTTGGGCATTTTTGTGGGTTCTCTTACTCGTTAAGACTTTGGATGTTCTTGGAGGCTAGGTTCCTAGCTGGCCACTTCTCCTTCCAAATTGTTTCATAGACTTCCTCGGAGGGCAGAGTCACATAGCATTGGGACAGTCCACAGGCCATCTGGAACATTCCGTAAGGCTCTCATAGTCTATGATAGCACGATTTAAAGGGGTGCTCTAGGTACAACCACAGCTTGTACTTCAACTTCTGAGCCCTTATCTTAAGCGCCACATCCCAGATAGGACGCCGGGCTCAGCTCTGGGGTTTATTTAATCAGGTATGTCTGTCTATGGAACCTTATCTAAAGTTGTCATCTCCAAAATGTAACCCCAATATATCGGGGCTGCCTGGAGGCCTGTCTCCACTGAGGATGCCCTTGGCATAAATAAGCAAGCTCTCACGGGACTCTAATAGCCTCTGAGCACCCAGCAAAACTTCCTGAGCCCCTCTGGACTCCTTCTGTCCCACCCCATGCTCTGCAGTTGGTGTGCCAATCTTTCTTTTCTCATTCTCTTTCCTGGGCTCTCCTTTCTCATCCTGCCTCCCAGAAGGTTCAGGTTCATGAGTTTCAAATTGTGTGATCCTGAGCATGTGGGTTTCCCCACAGGTCAAAGAGGGGTGGTGGAGCACAGCCTCCTCAGAGGTGTGTGGTAGGGTTAGAAGAGCGACCTGCCCGCAGCCCAAGTACTCAGGAAACCGTGGCCGGTCTTTGTACACATGTATATTTCATTACTGTCTTTCACATTTTTGAAAATTCAAGTCAAGGGAACCAAGAGACCAAGTATAACCTGGGCTTTCAGAAGCTAGATTATGGGATGGGGTTGGGGTTGGAGGGGATCTTAGCTCTCCTCTGGGGGACTTTGATTCATACCCCAACTGGAGAAAGACCCCCAAGCCCAAGAGTATTTCTTCTTGCTTCGCCCCCTCATCCTCTTCTAACCCCCCAACAACCTGTACCACCCCTGCCCAGCTCAGCAGGCAGCCAACACTGAACATTCTTTATTTCAGCAGTGAGACATCATTGTCCCTCCTGTCCCCTGCCAGCAAGGCTCTGGGGCCGGAGGCAGGAACACAGAGTTCTGAGTAGGCAGGAGGGTGGGCCGCAGAGGAGGACAGCATTAGAACCATGTTTTCTCAAGAGTCTTCTGATTTACATATTTCTCACAACTGCCGTAGATGAGTTTAAATGTTTTCTGATTCTTCGGGAATATACAAGTCAGGTTTGATTGGCAGGGACACTCCTTATACAGGCCGAAGAAAATCTGGAAAAAGCAGGACTTTGACCTTAACCTTGACGTTGCTTCTCCTCTCATTCCTGGGGAGGGGGATCCCCTAGCCCACTCCAGCTCTGCTCCCAGGTCCAACTGGTTGGCCAGGGCAAGAAACCTGGGGATAAAGGACCCCTAGGGCTCCTCACCCGCTGTTCAGAGTCCTAAGTTGCCCTCTCTGGGGTGATCCTGGAGTCACCCAGGGCCCACAAGCTGGACCCAGGCAAAGCCTTGCTTGTCAACTCACCTTCCTAAGTCCATGAACCCAAGTGAGGCCCTCATGGCTTCTTAAATCCCTTCATGGACAAATCAACCCCTCTCTGCACACCCAGCTGGGAGGCCGCCTCAGCCCATCTCCAATCAGGAACACCTGGGGCCAGAGCAGGTCCTAGACCCGGGAGGGGATCAGGGCACAAGACCCACCAACAGCCCGCCTCTATTGCGCTACCCTTGGGGACAGGAACACAGCTGGAGACTGAGGCATGCCTTCCCTTTCCCGCATCCGGGACCCCAGCCTCTGGGGTGAGCTTCCTCCTCAGGTGGGTCCACAGGTCCCCAGACAGCTTGTACTTATGGCCCATGAGGAGAATTCCTGGCCTGGGTCATTGCTGCCACCTCCTCTGCCCCCTTCCCAGGAATTCGGTCCCCCCCCCTTCCCTCCTCTGCACCCTCCTCACGCCCTCTAGGGGCCGACACCCACCTGCGTTTGACACTTGCTGCCCTCAGACCCCAACATGGTGCAGTGCGACTCGCAGTTGTCATCTGCCTTGCGGCAGCACCGGCTCTTACAGCCCTGGTTCCGAAAGCAGATGTTTCCGTTCTCCTACGGGGAGACCAGCCCCCTTAGGTCCCGGCCCAGCTTCCCCATCCCGGCTCCCCCACCGCCCACTGTGCCAGGCACCTTGGGGTCTCTCTGGGTCAGAGGGGAGGGGGTTGTCTGTCTAGCTGGGAACAGAAGGACACTGCAGGCAAGGCCTGTCCCTGAAGGGGACTACACAGGTTTTTAAATATTTAAATATTCAAAATAGGTTGCTTCTCTCTCTCTCTCTCTCTCTCTCTCTCTCACACACACACACACACACACACACACACACACACACCACGGGAATCAGACTTTCCTGCCTCTGCTCAGGCACTGCTTAGGCAGGAGCCTTCTGTCCTGTGAACTACTTACCCTTCCATCTGAGCTTGACTATCACCTTCACACCCCCTCCCAACATTAGTGACCCCAGTGCTGGATGACATCATCTATCATCACCACCCTTCATCTCTCCGTTGGAAAATTTCAGTGGTCATTCAGAGAACAGACATTAGTCAGACACCGTGGTACATGCCTGTCATCCCAGCAGCTCAGGAGGCTGAGGAGGAGGATCACAAGTTCAAAGCCTCAGCAATTTAGTGAGGCCCTAAGCAACTTAGTGAGACCCTGTCTCTAAATAAAAACATTAAAAGGGGTGGTGATGTGACTCAGTGGTCAAACATCCCTTGGTTCAATCTCCAGTACCAAAAAAAAAAAAAAAGAGCAAATTAAGCCAGCCATGATGCACACCTGTAATCCTGTAATCCCAGCAACTCTGGAGGCTGAGGCAGGAGGAGTGAAAGTTTGAGGCCAGCTTCAGCAATTTTGTAAGGCCCTAAGCAACTCAGCAAGAATCTGACTCAAAATAAAATATAAAAAGGGCTGGGGACGTGGCCCAGTGGTAGAGCAGCCCTGGGTTAAATCCCTAGTACAAACAAAACAAAACTCTCATCTTCTGCTAGAACCTCAGCTCCAGGAGAGAGGGGTCTCACTCTTTGAGCTTCCTGTTCTCTGCTCTTCCCCCCTAGGACTAAACTCCTCACACACTGCAGGTGTCGAACACACAATAGCTGAGGACACAGGAGGACACTGCTACTTTGGTCTTTCTATTTCTCTGCTTTCATTGTGGTGCCCACTGCCACCTTTGGCCATTCCTTGAATGCAGAGGCATGTTCCTCCACCTGGAATGCTGCAGATCGCTGCCTTGCTCCTGCCTTGGAAACCTGTACTTCCTGTCCGTCTTTGCTTAAATTCCACTTTATTAGGAAAGTCTTCCCTGCACAGCTCCACAAGAGTAAGGTGTTTAACTGTCTTGTTCACAGCTCTCTCCTATTTTTTTTTTTTTTTTACATCTAGTAGGTATTCAATAAAATGTGTTGGGTCACCTGAACAGGGGGCAGGGCACTGCATCACATGTACCTCTGAGGCGGCAGCTCCCAGGCACCACCACAGCTCAGCTCCTTGGACCAGGGTGTTTTCTTTTCCCTCCGGGACACCCCTCCCCCTTCTCAAACACAAACCTCCCAGGCCTTAGGATAGTGGCAAAGGAGTGGGGCCCTCCAGCTTTCTTACCAAAAGTGATTTTGGTGCCAGGGAAAATGAGCTCCTGTTGACAAGGAGGAGAAAGGAGAAGAAGAATAGCAGCTGTGGCAGTGGCATCATAACTTCGAGGTAATAGTGGCTTTTCTAAAGCCCAGCTAAGTACTCAGCACCTGCTGTATGACAGCCCTCAGGGCCTGAGGGGTGAATGCCCCGTCCTAAGATTAATGGGAGAGAAAGGAGCTCTGGCCCCCAGCCCAAACCAACGAGGAACAAGCAATGGGCATGAGACGGCAGCTCCCCTAGATTGGCAATGGCATCCTGGACCCTTTGCTGTGCTTGCCTAGCTGCCAGAAAATTCCTCTAATCTGTGCCCTTGGGCTTTAGCGCTAGCAGTTATGGGTTCAAATCCTATCTCAGCTGCTCACTGGCTGTGCAGCTGCTCAAGAAAAGTTGCAAGACGTTCATCAAAGCCACAAAACTATTATTAAATTACAGAAGATTAGATTCTATCTTTCATCTTTCTGTTCCCTTCCCCTAGATCCTTCAGTTAGAATTTCAGGAACTTGGGGCTGAGGTTGCGGCTTAGTGGTAGTGTGCTCGCCAAGCATGCATGAGGCACTGGGTTCGATTCTCACCACCACATAAAAATAAAGACAATAAAGTCCATCAACAACTAAAAAATATTTTAAAAAAAAGAATTTCAGGAACTGCCTCTCTGCAGAAAATCCAGTACTTCTGTAGGTCTTTGTGACCAGCACAAGAATTATACACCCAGAATGCACAATGAGTGGGTTGTGCTGTCAGATGATCAGGACAAAGTGCACTGAGTCTTGGGAACAGGAACAGACAGTGATACCAAGGGAGGAACAACAAGAGACATTTGATGTACATTAGTCAGGGCAAGTGAGATAATGCTGCAGTGACAAACTACCCAGAAATTGCACAGGCTAAGCACACAAAAAATGTCTACTGTGAGTCCAGGGAAGCTGTTCCATAATCCAGGCCTCTCACCTTCTAGTTCCCTGGCCATGGTAAGGGGATAAAATTGGAGAATCACAAATTTTCTGAGTTCCCTGCTGAGGGTGAAATCAACCGTCAAGGGACTGAGGATCAATGAGAACTTTGTTGTTTGCAGGTCATAGAACCCCAACCCAAACTGGTTGAGGAAAAACATGAAATTTTTTGGCTCATGTAACTTTAAAAAGTCCAAGGGTCAAGCTATCTGGTTCAAGGTACGGCTTGTTCCAGGAGATCGAGAGAAAGATACTAGAACCTGCTTCTCCTCTGCTCTTTTTTAGCTTCCTCTTGAATCCAAACGGTGAAAAAAATGGCTGCCAATAACCATAGACCCATGTTCTCCCACGTTCAAGTCTAGTGGAGGAAAGAGTATCTTATCTTTGTAACTCTTATTAAAAAAAAAAATCCTAGGCTCTGTTTTGATTGAACAAACTAGGCTATGTGTCCCCACTGAACCTACAGCTACCCACAGAACCAACTTCTATCTAGAGGATTCTGTGATGGGATGTAGGTGAAGCTTGGCTCAGTCAAGAGAGTGGTTTCAGTCACCTGCACCACTTTGTTGCCCAGGACCTCCAGGGAGGGAGCCTGACTCCACTTTGGAGAACTCCATCAACTCAACTGTCGCTGTTATCACTTCTGATGGGAGAATGATTGTGGGAACACTGAAAGATTTTGACCAGACCATTAATTCGACTCTGGATGAAAGCCAGGAAGGAGTGTTCAGCTCTTCACAGGGAGTAGAACAAGCAGTACTAGGGCTTGACATTGTAAGAGGTGACAATGTTGCAGTCATTGGAGAAATCGATGAAGAGACAGATTCTGCACTTGACTTGGGGAACATTCCAGCAGAACCTCTAACCTATGTAGCACACACAGGGAAAACTACCTGCATTGCACAGAATCTGAATCTGTACAGAAACCAATTTTTCTGAAGAAGATGTTTGGAATTTTTAGGATTGTGTAATTGTGAATTCTGACTTCACATTGATTTACTGGAATATGTAAATTAAAATATCTCTACGTTTTTATTGAAAAAAAAAATTTACCTAAATAAAAAAAAAGAGAGAGAGAGAGAGTGGTTTCCTTAAAAAAAAAAAAAAATCAGTATCCTGAAGAGGAAGGGAGCAATAATGGATCTTGGGGATGCAAAATCATTAGATGATATGGCAAATGGGAATTTATAGGGAAATAAGCACTGTATCTAATTTAAAGCAATGAAAAATGTTCACAGGTGCTGGGGATGTGGCTCAAGCGGTAGCACGCTCGCCTGACATGCGCGGGGCGCTGGGTTCGGTCCTCAGCACCACATAAAAATAAAATAAAGATGTTGTGTCCACCAAAAACTGAAAAATAAATATTAAAAAATTCTCTCTTTCTCTTCTCTCTCTCTTTAAAAAAAAAAAGAAAAAGAAAAAGAAAAATGTTCACAGCACAACTTTTACTTCATGTTTTCAGTCTTTATTTCTTTTGTACTGGGGATTGAACCCAGAAGCATTCTACCACTGAGCCACATCCCCAGCCTATTTTTGTATTTTATTTAGAGACAGGGTCTTACTGAGTTGCTTAGAGCTTTGCCAAGTTGCTGAGGCTGGCTTTGAACTCACAATCCTCCTGCCTCAGCCTCCCAAGCCACTGGGATGACAGGCATGAGCCACAGCTCCCGGCTTCAGGCTTCATTGATTTTAAATTTTATAAATGTATAGGTAAGATCTTTTATAATTCACTACCTACTTCAGCTCTCTTTCTAATGCAACTATGTTTCGAATGAATTCTATCCACTCAAGGAGGGCTCAGTGTTTTAGAGTCAGGTTTGCCTACACTTGGAAGGTTTCCTTCTCTACCAGTCAATGTCCAGTCAGGAAAACAGAAAGTACTCTAGGTGTTCGAAGCAGAGAGAATTTAACATAAGGAAATGGCCGCACAGGTGATGGAGTCACTGAGAAACCAAGCAGGATAGTAAAGCGACTTGAAGGTGAACAATAGAGGGAAGACACCAGAGGCCCTGTGACGGGGAACCCTGTGGTAGACAACGTGAATGGAGTCAGGTGGTGGGCAGAGGAGGCCAAGGAGAAGCCAAAGAGCTCAAAGCCAGTGACATCACTTGAAGCATAGCAGGGAGGGGGAGAACTATCCCACAGTCACTCCTTGTGCCTTTGATCCTCAGCCAGTCCTAGAAGCCCAGGCGCAAAGAAGACTGGGAAATGTAGTTCCTGAGGGGAAAGAGCAGAGTAGAGAGCCGGTGTGTGTACAGGCCTGTAATCCCAACTCCCTGAGAGGCTGGGGCAGGAGGAGAGCAAATTCAAGATCCACCTTGGTGACTTAGCCAGATCCTGTCTCAAAATAAAAAATAAAAAGGGCCGGGGCGCAGTGCAGTGGTAAAGCACTCACTGGGCATGGACATGGCCCTGGGTTTGATCCCCACTATCACCAACCAAAAAAAAAAAAAAAAGATGGAAAAAAAAAAAAAAAGGAAAAGGCAGAGCAGGTAGAGGATGAAGAGGCAGTGAAGAGGCGGTCGCTCAGCACACCTTTCTTCCCACCACCATAGGCCCGGAGTTGCCAGTGTTCCATCTCGTCCAGCTTCTGTCCTTCTCCCACTGAGTCAGTCTGCCTCTCAGGGTGGGGTGTGTGTGTGTGTGTGTGTGTGTGTGTGTGTGTGTGTGTGTGTGTGTGTGTTTGCTGGGTTTTTGTTGTTGTTGTTGTTTGTTTGTTTTTTTGTAGGGGGTTTGGGATGTCAATCTAAAATGAATGACAGAGCAACTTTCCAAAGAGTGTATTCAGGAATCACAAAGAATCAATTCAGGATATGTGGCCGCAACACTGGGAAGTTTTTACCTGCAGAAATGAGACACAAGCTGAAACAAAAACCACTGGTTGTGGGAGCTTATCACAGAAGGTGGCTTTTGTTCATTGGTGGTACTAGCTTTTGCTAGGAGAGGATCTTCATAAAAGAAGCTTAACTAGAAATTTCTGGCTTGGGAAAGACTTTCATGGCAGTTCCTATTATAGGCATACATGTGTGAGGCCTTCATGGCCCCCCCAGCCCCATTTTGTTAGAGTTTGACATAAGTTACTCCATTTTGTACCAACAACTTGTACAGATAGCTCAGTGGTAGAGTGCTTGCCCAGCATGTACAAGGCCCAGGGTTCAATCCTCAGGGTTAGCACAAAATGACTGAGCTGGGTGCAGACTACACAGATCAGCAAGCCTTTATTCAGCGGTGGAGTCATGCATCTGGTGGACACACTTTCTTGCTGGAAAATGAGTCACTGGCCAAAGGAGGAATCTGTGCTTATACACGTTACATTGAGAGGTGACTTAATTATCGACAGAGTGTGTCAGTTTGGACACTCAGGAAACAGGTTTGTGAGAATTTGAGATTTGTTTTGACTGGCAATGCTTTTACTTGGGAAAGAACAGGGGGTCTGGGGGTCAGTGTTCAGTGCATGTCTCTTTCCCTTCAGGGTCCCATTGTACTGTCCCTGGATAAAGATCTATCTGGAGAAGGATCAATGCTTTGGCTTCCTCCCAGAGATTGTCACTCTAGGCTTGATGGGTATCACCTTCCCAGGGATTGTCCTGTCACTGGAAGAGGTTATCTTGAGAACAGGGACAGGCCACACTATTCTGGGGTTTGTCATTTTCCATATTTTACACTCAGTACCACAAAAACAAAAGGAAAAAAGGAGATGATTTTGTGCAGAACTGTAGGTCAGTGCCAGTATTCTGAGCACATTTAAAGTAGAATAAGCTAGAATGTTCTCTAGGTTAAGTGTATTAAGTGAATTTTCAACTTATGAGACTTTCCATGTACAATGGGTTTATTGGAATGTGACCCCATCCTACCTCAAGGAGCATCTATATCATCATGTGGGCAGGGTGGGGGGGCTCAGCAGGGGGCCAAGCATGACAATGGAAGGAGGTGGAAGAAGAGCCACACTGACCCTGCAGAGCCTCCTCAGGACAGTTCTTGAACTCACTTCAGCCCTCATTTGAGTGTGTGTTTGTTTCCGCAGCTATAAATTTGTATCTTGAAACACACAGGTTTGGGTTTGGAAATGATCTTCATGTCTATTTCACAGGGAAATAGTGAAGTAAAATATAGTCCATCTGATTAAAAAATTTAAGGCAGTAATTAATGTTTTTGAAAAGACTCTGATACCATGGGGAAAATGATCAAGATATAACAGCAGGCCGGGGTGGTGGCTCAGTGGCAGAGCACGTGCCTAGCATGTGTGAGGCACTGAGTTCAATTCTCAGCAACACTTAAAAATAAATAAATAAAATAAAGGTCCATCAACAACTAAAAATATAATTTAAAAAAAAATTTATTTGTTTTAATTAGTTATACGTGACAGTAGAATGCACTTACATACTTTGATATATCATACATAGATGGGATATAATTTCTCACTTTTCTAAGCATACGTATTATAGAATCACATCGGTCATACAGTCACATACATAAAGTAATAACATCTGTTTCATTCTACTATCTAAAATATGTACATATTAAAAAATAGACTACAGGGCTGGGGATATAGCTCAGTTGGTAGAGTACTTGCCTCATATGTATAAGACCCTGGGTTTAATCCCTAGCACCACACACACACACACAAAAAGGTCTACAATTTTTAAAAAAGATACAATAACAGGAGAAAAAGCAAGTCCTCACTTCTGTGTGAGGCAAAGGTAATTATATCAAATGAGGGTGGTGCTTGCCTTTGAATGGGACCCCCAAAGTGTATTGGAAACTTACTCCCTAATTGTAATGATTAACTTGAATTGTCAACTTGATTGGATTGAGATGCCAATGAGGGGCTGTGGTTGTGGCTCAGTGGTACAGTGCTCTCCTAGCATATGCAAGGCACTAGGTTAGATCCTTGGCACCACGTAAAAATTAAAAAAAAAGAAAATAAAGGTAGAGAAAAATGAATCTTAAAAAAGAGAGAGAGAGGGAGAGAAATGCCAATGATTAAAGAAGCTTGAGGGTGTTCAGTGAGGGTGTGTCTAGGAATGACTGACATGTAGGATAGTGAACTGAAGTGGAGACCCTCCCCAAGCATGGGCAGTTTAGAGGGAATAAAAGTTGGAAGAACAAGGAAGCAGCAGCAGATGCAATCTCCAGTCTTCTCAAATGAGTTCCTGATTGCTGCTGCAATCTCCTGTGGATATCATTCTCATGTCTTCACTCTTCCAAAGTGAACTCTGCCAGTGATTCTCCAGGGAGTTTCCAGAAGCCTTCGGTCTCAGACTAGGGTAGCACCTTTGATCCCTCTTGTTCTGAGGCTTTGGCCTCTTGGACTATGCAGCTACTGGTTCCTCCAGCTCTCCAGGCTGCAGACGACCATTGTGGACTATCTAGCTTCTGATCATGTAAGCCAATCTAATAAATCCCCTTTTTATAATCTTACCTCTTATTGATTCTGATCCCCTGGAGAAACCTGACTAATATACTAATGCAACAGTTACTGAGAGTGGGTTTGTTGTAAAGATAGAGAACTGTTTAGCTTGTTTGAAAAAAACTCAGGGGAAGTGGGTTCAGCCCTCTTGGTCCCATCCTCACAGGAACTCTCTTGCCCTTCTGCCTTCCACCATGGGATGACACAGGAAAGAAGCCCTCACCGGATGTCAAGATGTCAGGACCATGCCCTTGGACTTCCCAGGCTCCAGAACCACGAATCAGGTAAACCTCTTTTCTTTCTTTATCTTCTTTTTTCCCCCCTTTGGTACTGGGGATTGAACCCAGGGATTAACCATTGATCCACATGCCTGCACTTTTTATTTTTTGTTTTGAGACAGAGTCTCCCTAAGTTGCTTAGGACCCTAAGTTGCTGAAGCTGGCTTTGCACTTGCAGTCCTCCCGAGTCACTGGGATTATAGTTGTGTGCCCTTGTGCTTGGCAAACCAGGTAAATCTCTTTCCTATGGTAAATTA